TACTTAAAAGACTAATAATTATATTAAATATTTAATTAAATAAAAAGAATAGCTTATAAAACGTTATTAAACTTAAAAACCTTATAAATACTTTATTAAAGAGAGCGCTTTATTATTATTATAATAATTTAAATTAAATTACTTAAATAAGCTATATAACTTAAGGGTTTAAATAGCTTTAATTAGCTTAAAATAAGCTTTTTTAAAGAGAAAGCTAATATTATATAATTAAAACTTAATAAAGCTTAACGTTAATATAAGACTTATAAGCTTACTTAAATTAAATATATAATACACTTACCGCTTATAGTATCTCTATTTCTTTTATATATATATAGTAATTACCGTGCCCTTTCTTCTCTCTTAAAATTAAGGACCTTTAACACTATACCAGATTATCTCTGAATTGAGCCCTTTACTCCAAGCCCTCGTAACCGAGCCCTTGTCACACCGACACAGACAACATCTACTACAGCTTCTCCTACAACGTCAAAGACCAGCAGTGCGCAGAAGACAGGAAATTCGGCATTGGCTCTGATTGGTGTAGTTATTGTAGCTATCGCAGCAGGTTTGCGGTGAGGCGAGATGGGCAGGCTGTCAGAGACATCTCAGGATAGTTAGGGAATAAAAGACTCTGTCTTGAAACTCTGTCTAACGACTTCAGATCAAGAATATCCATGTCATCTGCAGGGCGCCAGCGAGTAGTAGTTGATGTTCCATATGACCGCACACAGGCCGAGGAACTATTCTCCTCACGGTCCCCTGACCAAACCGTATTGACTGTTGTACGACGCTTTTCATGGCACCTGCTACACACCAGGGTAGAATACCAACGTCTCCAAACATTGCTACCGTCATCACTTTAAGGCATAATCACTCCGAGCTGTGTCAATGCCGCTTCCCTTTCCCCCTGACTCCCGCATGGATTTGGCGGTTGCGATCCCCTCCACCGTGCAACCAGTGGCTCGGCAGGAGGAAGCCCAGAGAACTGCCGTACCCATGCCTTTGGAGAGCAACCGTCTTCATGCTCTCTTTTCTGAGTATGAGAAGCTTGTCAATAGGCAGGAGGAACCGCGTGACCGCCATGGCTCACCAGATAAGAGTAAGACTCCGTCCAGTTCGAGTACTCACGCTTAGCTTATAGCCGTTTTGCAGATGGCGAATCTCGTTGCGCTAATCACCCCGAACCGCGTCAGAAAGTGGTCCCGTGCCCGGCTGCGAGCGTCGCCCGTAGGCAGCAACGAAAAATCTCGAGGCGTAAGACCCAGCGGCGGAAGAAGGCCACTTCACATGGGGCTTCCCGTACGAAACGTGCGTTAGCTAGCAGCGTTCAGGAATACGAATATATGTGCCTCAGGGAAGCGCGTTAAGCAGTAAATGGATCCATTAAAGTTAAAGTATTTTGGGCACCCGTCTTCTTGCCGTGCGACCAATTGTGTGGGGAGCAGGCAATTAAAGAGGCTAAAGACCTGGTGATCAGAACATTTGGCCACGTCGCATGGGAGCGGGAGAGGAGAAGTTAGGCTGTGTAGATACGAAGAGCGACGAATTGGACTAGATAGGAGGTAGTGAATATATGGGCTGTTGCCAGATTCTAAATATCCTTCAGCTGGAACGTGCCCTTGCCTCTCTTGTGGAGTACTGCCCGACAGGAGGACCACGAGAGTGACACGAGCTATGGCCAACCTTCCTGTAAACGAGCGGCTCAGAGGTACGATTGGACATTTGGGCTGTAGCAGCTGAGGTTACCATCAACTTGGAAATACATGGTACTGGCAACGTTAGCGCAGATACCCTGCATGGGACCCTCGTTCAGCCGGAGCACTACGGAAGGATTGATCACCACAATTTGGAGTTTGTCACAAAGCTCCAGATACCTGGCAGTCGACAATATCAACAGTTCGTTTTAACAAAATCGGGTCTATATTTGAAGATTGCAATGGCGGTTGTGTGATCGGCGAGTGCCTCTCGTCATCAATTCTCTGGCAATGGAGATACTCACTCGAAGGGATAGAGCGCAGCACATTCCTTCAAGAGCCAATACTTCGAGTCTCTCGTTACGGCCTTTACATCTTATGTGACAGCTCTTCCAGTTACGCCTTATGCTTTTTGGCACCAATTGTAGCGTTGTCCTATTTTAATCCCTGTAGCCGTACTGCCTATCTGCGAGTCGCTACGACAGGTGAATCCAGTCGTGTTGTAACAGTTCTGCCGCGGACTTTCGCGACGTCGGGTCGACTTCCAGCATGCCTTTAATGAAATCGATAAAGGTAGCAATTTCAGCTTCTGGCATATCACAAGGTTTAAGGAAGGGCTTCACTTCACCATTAACCAAGCGCTCGAGACTCGTAGGTTTTAAGTTTCTAATTCGAATGAGCTTTCCTGAAGATTCAAATACATTAGCATGGCAACCAAGTGGCAGTGCGATAGATATGTACAATATACCTTGCTCATCAAAAAAATCTGTTGAGCGACGCCCCTTCTTAAGAAGGCTAGACGGAAACGGGCCGAGGACCTCAGCAATTCTCGCTAAATGGTCATCTTCGGCAGTCCACCTCCCGGTTTCTGATGCTTTTCCAGAGAAGAGAACTATACCTTGAACGAACTCCAGAACCTGTTTGTGTCAGGTAAAATGTTAGCATATATCACGGTATGACAGTCTACTATTCTTACAAGGCATCCAAGGCTCCATATATCAACACCAGTATCCCAGGGAGCGCCGATAGTTACCTCCGGTGCCCTCAGCGCGGGTGACTGGATTAGATCTGACAGATGATTCTCTCTCCAAGAAGCTAAGGGTAAGGTAAGTAGGCTTTTCGCTAAAAAGGTACAAGTTACGTACCAACGCCAAAGTCAATAATCCTGACGTGAAGCGATGCCATTTCGGAGACCAGCGGTGTCGTGATAACCTCCCGAAGCGGGACTATAGCACCATTTTGACGATCGGTCGTCCGTGGAGGAATGGAGTTGATATAATCGGAAATGGTGTCGTTTGGGGTTTCCAACTCCAAGAGTATATTCGTTGGTTTAAGGTCTATTGGTTATATTAGCAATAAAACAAAACCAGGAATTCCTCGATGTATTACGCCGTACCTGTATGAATGATGCCGCACTCCCTGGAAGAAAATCCAGCCCCAGGAGAAGCTGCCTTGTAATTTCCCTCACTGCCTTCATAGGTAACTTTCCGTCCATATACTTGGCAGCTTGGAAATCTAGATGATGCCCTAGCACGTCAAAAACAAGGCAAACGTGGTCTCCATTTGGCCCCGTATGGTTGAATTGTCCAAGGAGATGCAATACATAATTGCGGCCTTCATGAGAACTGTTCGTAGATACTTCCAAGATCCTCGAGAGAATTTCCCGCTCAAAAATGTCATGGGGGCCGCCATAGCAATCAGCCCTCAGCATTTTTAGCGCGACGTATCGTTGGCATCTGCGTCATCAGTAACCTGGTATGCCAGGACGACATATAACGTACTTCGAATCTCTGGCAAGCCAAACTGTAGAGTATTGCCCATATCCTAATTTTCTTAGGATAGTGTATCTCTCGGAATGAAAAGCATCGCCAAGCGAGACAGGATGAAAACCTCCACGATTGTAATAGTCCGGTTCTTCAGTGAATTGATGAGGGCTAACGGGCTTCGAGGATGGCAGCTGAGATAGTGGCAAAAAAAGCCTCGAAACTCGGACGCGAGCGTTTGCTAAGGTTGCTTTTATCAGATTTATCATGTTGCGAAACGTTCGTACTTCTTGGTGATCGGGTCAATTTCATGCAGAAGAACAGAGTGACATGTGATTGACAGTAACAAGTTCACGTGAGCGGGACAAAGAATGTTCTTACCTCAGCAAGCTCAGACCATGTCTACGAGGAGTTTAGCGCCTCCGCTCCGAGATACCAGCCGTTGGTGGAATTCCTGGTGGCCGCGCTTTACTGATCACAGCTATAAACTTTTTCGTGTTATTAATACTATTATTTTTAACCCTATTTAGCATATTAATATAAGACCTTTTATCTTTAATATATTAACTTTATTACTTCTTAAAAGCGTAGTATAATAAAACCTTAAATAATAATCTTATAAATAAACTATTAAGAAGAATAAAATAAAAGTTTTTATGTTTTCTTAGTACTACCTTTACCATTTCGCCTATAATCTTAGCTCCTAGTACTCGTGCCCCGGTGCCTACCCTCTTAGATCCTAGTAGTCGTGCCACGGTTGTGAGGATCTTATCAGATAAGTTCAATTGCTTCTCTAGGACCTCTAGTACGGCTATTTCCACGTCGGAGTCTCCGTTATCTAGCCGTTAGACCACGGATGCAAGGATCTCGTCGGACAAGTTCGATCGCTTCTGAAGGACCCCAAGGGTAGCCCTTCGCACGTGAGAGCCTGTGTTATCAGAGCCTCTGTCGTAAGAGTCTGTGTCGTCTAAGTCTGGGTTGTCAGAGTCTGTGTTATCCAGCCGTAAGACCACGGCTGTGAGGATCTCGTTAGACAAGTTTAATTGCTTGTCTAGAACCTCTAGGGCGGCCTCTCGCACGTTAAAGACTCTATTATTTAGCTATTAAACTATAATTATAAGAATCTTATTAGATAAGTTTAATTGCTTTTATAGAATATATAAAGTAGCTCTTTATACGCGAAAGCTTATATTATTTAACTATTAAATTACAGCTATAAGAATCTTATTAAATAAGTTTAATTACTTCTCTAGAATCTACTAGGTAGCTTATTACACGTTTATAATATATATAATTTAGCTGTTAAATTACAGCTATAAGAATCTTATTAGATAAGTTTAATTACTTATTTAAAATCTCTAAGATAGCCTATTACACGTTATAGTTAATATTACCTAGCTATTAGCTTATAGCTATAAGAATCTTATTAAATAAGTTTAATTAATCCTATAGAAGATCTAAGGTAATCTCTTATACGTTAAAGACTCTATTATTTAGCTATTAAATAATAAATATAAGACTATTATTAGATAAGTTTTATAGCTTTAATAGAGCTTATAAGGCGGCCTATTACACGCTAAGGTATATATTATCTTACCGTTAAATTACAGCTATAAGAATCTCGTTAAATAAGTTTAACTACTTTCCTAGAATATATAGTGCAGCGTCAAAGAACTCAAAGGCAGAAATGAAGGTGGGGTCGTCATGGACTCATGGCTTTCAAGTCTTGGGTCAGGGGCCAACTGGGTGCCTGAAAGTAGATGTCTGGTCCTATTCCCCCGCCTCAGCTTGGGCACGACTTTGGGCCGACAATGTTTCCTAGTCATCACCACCGAGCATGGTGCGTACATACACCCATGCGACCAGACATTTCTCACCAGCCCAATCGCAGTCAAGTAATGCACCGAAGCCAATTTTTCTCCCACACGGCTACTGCAGCGGCTGCAAATGTTCAAGCTATTCCGCTTCATACCGAACCAACGCTCCTGGCAACGGAGGCAGTTATGCATCTGGCTATCGTTGCAGTATACAACACCTGCACCAGAGCCTGATCCTACTGAGGGAATGTGCAAGTCAAGTTCTTGTGTAAAATTGGACCAACTATCTGATTAAGCTGTTGCTCTTAAAGGGAACCCACTGGCAAGAGTCTTTTACAGCAGCCTCTCCCTGTTCAGCTCCTATCAATGGTAATCCACCGCGTACAATGTCACTGCCGTGACAATTACCGTGTGTAGCTCGATAAGTGTACCGAGTGGGTGGAGTGTTTTGCCTTTGCTCACGATCAGCGCCTGCTAGGCTTCCTTGACAAGTTTCCTCATTCGAATCACTGGTGCTTCGCGGGCGAGCGAAACGACAGCCAGACTAGCCACTACAACCGCTTGCCGTTGCGTAGGTGGCCAATACAGATATCTTGCCCTGCACGAGACTGAAGCAGGTAGTCGATTACACAGCCAAGTACTCAAGGCACTCACGTCTTCGCTGAAAAAGAACGAATGAGATTCTCAGTAGAACTTTCCAGAGCCAACCCCGATGTGCGGCTTGTTGCTATTCACACCAAACTTCTGTAGGTTGTTAGGTATGCGGATGAGGTGTTGGGCCTACGAAGGAGGAAAGAGAGAGATGGCAAGAAAAACAATGAATTTGTGAGAACGGCTTAGTTGACAATGAGTCTTACCGCGTGACAATTACCCTGCACCACTGAGTAGAGATTTATTTACAATAATAACCTCAGAGCACCCAAGGCGGGTAATTAAAGTCCGTCTAACTGTGGCGCAAACGTTTTGATCTTCTGCGGCGAACAACCTTCGACAGCACAGCCTCCATGTCTACACCTGGCTGTCTATCATCACCCAAGGCACTCTTCACCAAGTCGTTTGTATGCTGTTGCTGATCGTCGATTTCTTCGCATTCTTCTACTGGGGATGAGGTACTTGTAGACTTTTACATATTTAGTTTCATATCAAGAAAAGAATTAAAAAGAAGACATATTTTCTGACCTGAAAACTTGAGAAAAACTCCGGGCTGTCGTTTTCATGAAATGATAAGACAAGCCGGTCGTCCGGCGCATCCCTTGTCCTCTTGTGAGAGGCATGGCGAGAACCGATCTCTCTTCTAGTAGATTGCGATGGCCCTGCTTGACTTTCTGGAGTATCGGGGACTTGGACAGCAGTACAAGCCACTTTGGAAAATTTCTCAGAGCAGAGGGGATCGTAGTCCCAGTCGATCTTGTACTGGCCCGCAGCCAGGATGTGCACAAACCACAACGCCAGATTGAAACTCAACGAGCAGTTCTCCTTACTACTCCGTGTGGCGCCTCCTTTCTCTTCTTCAGTCCAGGGTACTACCACATATTGCATGAGTCCGTTATTTCTCAAGGCTGAGTTCAACGAGGCCTTGGAACCGGCGTCGGGATCACCTGGGGTAGTGTAAGAGTAGTGCCTTTAGAATAAATGTTGCGTGATATCGCAGACTTACGTGGTTTAATTCGGAAAATGAAAGCTTCTTCAGTTGTCAGAATGCAACCGTATCTACACTCGAACCAGACGCAATAAGTATATGCTTGCCGAATTGGCCATGCAGCTTGCTTCTCGGCCATGCCTGATTTCCAAGTCCCATCTTGTTCCAGAAGAGCATCTAGCACATCAGAACTTCTCCATTTTGTAGAGGATTTGTAGTCCTTTGGTAGCCTTTCGATTCGGGTTTTTGGACATGATGAACCATGAGTGTGGCAAGGAACGGTAGCGCCACTGTCTGGATGATATCCGCGGCCCTTGCGCATCCCTGTCGCGCCAGATCTGACAAACGAGGTTGTCAGGGAATGCGTTGGACTCAAGTCATCACAAGTTGGTGTGCTTCTCGTACTTTCGCCTATTTTCCCTTTGTCCTTTGTTGAAGGGTTCCATTTACACGTTGGAATTTTCTCACCTATAGCTGTTAGACCAGCCTGGACTATCGGATAGTTCCACGCCGTTATGACATGTTGAGTTTCCGGTTCCTCGGTGACGACACATGGCTCAAAGTAAGGGCATGCGGAAAGAAGTGATGTAGTTTGCTGAGCAAGTTCAATTAATCTTCCATTGCTGATTTTTCGAAGAGTTTCAAAGCTGAATTCATCCCATACTAGTAACTGCCGGGGGGACATGCAACGCTGGGCATTTGTGAGAGAAAAACTAGTCGGTTTTTCGTACTGAATTTCAGGATTTTTCCACATCAATGAATCAAAAACGGATAAAGGTTTACTCATCTTGAGAGCTGATGGGGCAAAAGACAATTCAGAAGAGGGAGACGTGGAGATCAATGTGTCAGAGCGACAAATCACGCCATTATATCACCGTTGGTGCCGTTACATTGGCACGAATTCAAGTGTACACAGCCTTGTATGAAGAAAACGCTCTCAATTTGGTCACGGACATAAGAATATGGAGGGCCAAGGACAGCTAAAGGAGTAGTCAATCTTGATTTAATTGGCCGCGCATACGGAATAATTCCAGCTCGTGAAACAGAAGTCTCGATATGGTAGGTCAGAGACCCCGCATTTCCCGCGGGATGCTGCAGGACGGGACCTCCCCTGTTCCAGACGACGTCGTGTCCAATTATGTTGCCAGCCTTTTTGTTTCTGGTCGGTTATGTCCCCTCTCGACCTGAAGTCATCACCTTGCCTCCCTCATAGCTTGCCAGCTGACCATATCTTGACCATGGCCCAAAGAGCGGCACCCAAGAAACAGTCTATCCGATACCCGAATGAATTGCCTCCTTGTAAGGGCCCGAAACTGCATGTTTTCCCTGAGCACAGCTCTCCAATTGAGTGGCTAGGGCGAATCGACGGAGAAGATGAAAATATCAAGGGTTTCAGTGACTCTGGGAGGCAGGGGTACGTTTTCAAGGTCAGGATCGATTCACAGCTTTATGCATTAAAAGTAGTCAGTAGACACGCGCGCACAAAAATACA